TATACACTTTAAATGAGTGAGTTTCATAATATATAAAGTATATCTTGATAAAGCTGTTTTAAAAGAAAACTTGTAAGATATAGGAAAATTAAAATTTTGAGGGAAATACAGCCTTAAAGAAAGAAAGATGGCTGGGCATGGTGGCTCACATCTGTAATCCCAGCACTTGAGCAGGCTGAGGCAGGAGATCACTTGAGGCCAGGAGTTCAAGACCAGCCTTGGCAACAAAGCAAGACAACAACAACAACAACAAACCAGAAAGAAAAATACCAAAGTAAAGAGAAGAAAATAATAAATATAGGAACTAAAATTTATAAAACCGAAAATAAAGATTCAACAGAGAGGATTAACAAAGTCAAAAGTTGGTTGGCTAAAAGAATAATAATAAAAACCATTGGCAAGATTAATCAAGGAAAAAAGAGAAGGAACAAATGAATATCTGAAATTTAAAAGGGGAGATAACTACTGATATGGCAAAATTTAAAAGATAAAATAATAGCATGAATAGATGTTGAGACTACAGCAATGTTCGTTATATTTCCTTTGTGACTTAAAAAATGTTCTGTATTTGTGGGATATAGGATCATATGCAAATGCAATTAGCTAACCTTTTGAACATATATTTTGAAGCTAGGTTAGGTATACGAGTTCATGATTACAATGGTCTCTTACATTGTTTCTTTTATCAGTATAATCTATTTATGTGTGTACTTGAAAATACCTCGGCCGGGCACTGTGGCTCACACCTGTAAATTCCAGCACTTGGGGAGGCTGAGGTGGGCAGATTGCTTTGAGCCCAGGAGTTCGAGATCAGCCTGGGCAACATGGCAAAACTCAGTCTCCAAAAAAAAAATACAAAAAAATAGCTGGGCAAGGTAGCACACACCTATAGTCCCAGCTACTCGGGAGACTGAGGTGGGAGGATCACCTGAACCCGGGAAGTCAAGGTTGTAGTGAGCCATGACTGTACCACTGCACTCCAACGTGGCTGACAGGAGTGAGACTCTGTCTCAAAAAAAAAAATAAATTAAATATTCTTTCTTTTATTTATTAGTCACTTACTGTGTGCTATGGAGTTTGTCAATATTACCTCTATCCCTAATGTCCCTGGTAAGATAGGCATAAATAACTCCTATTTCAGATGACACAACTGAGAGAGCCATAAATGATATGTTTTAAAAAGCCAGGATCCAAACTCAGATTTTTCTGTTTCCAAAGCCTGTACTCTTCTTTACCACCGTGGTTCAAATGTATGTTGACTGTATATGTAACATGTATTTATTTTTTAAAAACAACACAAATTTCAGTATGAGGGAAAACTCAAAACTTAATCATGCAATCCTATAAACTGGACTTTTGCATTTTAAAGCACCTATCTTTGGGGAGAGAAGGCAGTGCAAGCTGGCTTAATAGAACTCTCCAGCCATCATTTCCCCTCTATACCCCACAGGAACACCAAATTGAACAGATTATCCATACAAGAAAGAACCTTCATAACAACTAAACATTGGGTGAGAGATCACAGTACCTGGTTTTAACCACATATCACTGAAAGAGGCACTGAAGAAGATAGGAAAGACAGTGTTGAATTGCCAACACCACCATTCCACCATCTGTTGGCAGCGGCCACATGGTGTGGAGAGAGAATCTATACTTGTGGGAGGGAGAGTGCAGTGATTGTGGGACTTTGCATTAGAACTCAGTGATGCCTGCCACAGCTGAAAGCAACATGGGGCAGAATTCAGCCAGTACTCACAGAGGGGGCAGTTAGACCAGCCCCAGCCAGAGGGGAACCACCCATCCCACTGGTCAGAATCTGAGTTCCAGCAAGCCCCACCATGGCAAGCTAAAGCACTGTGGGGTTCTAAATAAACTTGAAAGGCAGTCTAGGCCACAAGCACTGCAATTCCCGGGCAAGTCCTGGTGCTGTGCTGGGCTTGGAGCCAGTGGAGTTAGGGGACATGTGACCTAGTGAGATATGAGCCAGCCAGCCAGCCAGCCAAGGAAGTGCTTACATCACTCCTCCTCCAATCCCAGGCAGTGCAGCTCACAGCTCCAGGAGAAACTCCTTTCCGCTTGAGGCGAGGAGAAAGGAGAGTAAAGGGGACTTTGTCTTGCAACTTGGATACCAGCTCAGCCACAGTAGGATAGGGGAGAAGGTAGAGTCCCAAGGCCCTCATTCCACGCCCTAGCTCCCAGATCACATTTTTAGACATACCCGGTGCCAGAAGGGAATGCACTGCCTTAAAGGGAAGGACCCAGTCCTGGAAGGATTTATCACCTGATGACTAAGAGAACCTGGGCCCTGAATAAACATCAGCAGCACCCAGGCAGTACTCACCATGGGACTTGGGTAAGACCCAGGGCTGTGCTGGCTTCAGGTGTGACCCAGTGCATTCCAAGCTATGGTGCCCACAGGGACAGACTTCCTCTGCTTGAGGTAAGGAGAGGAAAAAGTAAAAGGAACTTTTTATTGCAGCTTGGGCACCAGCTTGGCCACAGTGGGGCAGAGAACCAAGAAGTCACCTGGGGTCCTCAGTTCTGGATGGCATTTCTGGACCTGCCCTGGGCTAAAGGGGGGCCCACTGCCTTGAAGGGAGAGTCCTAAACATGGCAGCATTCACCACAAGCTGACTGAAGAGCCTTTGGGCCTTGGGTGAATATCAGCGATAGCCAGGCAGTACCTGCTGCGGGGAGAGACTCCTTCCACATGAGGGAAAGGAGGGAAGAGTGGGAAGGATTTTGTCTTACAGCTTGGGTGTCAGCTCAGGTGGTGTAGAATTGAGAACCAAGCAGATTCCTAAGGTTCCTGACTCTAGGCCCTGGCTCCCAGATGGCATTCTGGTATCTGCTGTAGGCTGGGGAGTAGCTTGCCGCCCTGAAGGGAAGGACACAAGCCAGGCTGGATTTGCTTCCTGCTGATGGTAGAGCCCTTGGACCTTGAGTGAATATTGGCAGTAGCCAAGCAGTGGTAACTGGGGGCCCAGGGTGAGACCCAGTATTTTGCTGGCTTTGGAGAAACTCCACGTGTCTGGGGGAAAGTAAGGGAAAAGAACAAGAGTCTCTGCCTGGTAATACAGGGAATTCTCCCAGATCTTACCCAAGACCACCAAGGCAGTATCTCTACAATTCTGCAAGAGCCACAGCATTACTGGGCTGGGGGTGCCCCACCCCCAATGCAGATACAGCTATCATGACCAAAGATTTAGATGATAACAACTCAATTCTCTTTGAATACTTGGAAAACTTTCCCAAGAAGGACAGGTACAAACAAGCCCAGACTACAAAGACTAATAAATATGTAACTCTTCAATGCCCAGACATCGACAGATATCCACAAGCATCAAGACCATACAGGAAAGCATGACCTCACCAAACAAACTAAATAGTGTACTAGTGACCAATCCTGAAGTGACAGAGATATGTGACCTTTCAGAGAGAGAATTCAAAATAGCTGTTTTGAGGAAGCTCAATGAAATTCAAGATAACACAGAAAAGGAACTCAGAATCCTATCAGGTAAACTTAACAAACAGATTAAAATAACTTTTAAAAATCAAGCAGAAATTCCAGAGTTGAAAAATTCAACTGATATAGTGAAGAATGCATCAGAGTCAACAGGAGTATTGATCAAGCAGAAGAAAGAATCAGTGAGTTTGAAGACACGTTATCTGAAAATACAGTCAGAGAAGACAAAAGAAAAGAGAATAGGCCAGGTGCAGTGCCTCATGCCTGTAATCCCAGTACTTTGAGAGGCCAGGTGGGTGGATCACCTGAGGTCAGGAGTTCAAGACTAGCCTGGGCAGCATGGAGAAACCCTGTCTCTACTAAAAATACAAAATTAACCAGGCATGGTGGTACATGTCTGTAATCCCAGTTATTTGGGAGGCTGAGGCAGGGGAGAATCGTTTGAACCTAGGAGGCAGAGGTTGCTGTGAGCTGAGATTGTGCCATTGCACTCCAGCCTGGGCAACAAGAGCAAAACTCTATCTAAAAAAAAAAAAAAAAATTGGGCGTGGTGGCAGGCGCCTGAGGCAGGAGAATCATTTGAACCTGGGAGGCAGAGGTTGCAGTGTGCCAAGATTGTGCCACTGCACTCGAGTCTGGGCGACAGATTCAAATTCTGTCTCAAAAAACAAAAACGAAAAAAGAATAAAAAACAATGAAGCATGCCTACAGGATCGAGAAGACAGCCTCAGAAGGGAAAATATAAGAGTTATTGGCCTTAAAGAGGAGGTAGAGAAGGAGATGGGGTAGAAAGTTTATTCAAAGGGGGTAATAACAGAGAACTTCCCAAACCTAGAGAAAGATATCACTATCCAAGTACAAGAAGGTTATAGAATACCAAGCAGATTTAACCCAAAGAAGACTACCTCAAGGCATTTAGTAATCAAATCCCAAAGGTCAAGGATAAAGAAAAGATCCCAAAAGCAGCAAAAGAAAAGCAACAAATCACATACAATAAAGCTCCAAAATGTCTGGCAGCAGACTTTTCAGTGGAAACCTTATAGGCCAGGGACATTTAAACTGCTGAAGGAAAAAAACTTTTACCCAAGAATAGTATATCCAGCTAAAATATCCTTCAAAAATGAAGGAGAAACAAAGACTTGCCCAGACAAAACAAAAGCTGACGGAGGCCGGGCACGGTGGCTCACACCTGTAATCCCAGCACTTTGGGAGGCCGAGGCAGGCAGATCACAAGGTCAGGGGATCTAGACCATCCTGGCTACCCCGGTGAAACCCTCTCTCTACTACGAATACAAAAAAAATTAGCCGGGCGTGGTGGTGGGTGCCTGTAGTCCCAGCTACTTGGGAGGCTGAGGCAGGAGAATGGTGTGAATCAGGGAGGCAGAGCTTGCAGTGAACTGCGCCACTGCACTCCAGCCTGAGCGACAGAGCGAGACTCTCTGTCAAAAAAAAAAAAAAAAAAAAAAAAGGCTGTGATAAACTATTTTGACATTTAAAATGTGACCATTTCAAAGTAATAAATTTACCATCTTACCTTGTTCTCTCTCACAGCTTGCTTCCTCATCAGACAAAACTAGCCTGAAGTAAAAACAAAAAAAATGTAGATTTTTTGTTATAATACACTTGTGAATTATATTCCCCAAACAGTTTTATATGGTTAAAAAGAATTTTCTACTCAGAAAACATAAAATTGTCCACTAGATCTCCTAAAATCTACATCTGGTGAATTTCCTACTTATTTTATAGATCTATACAGACATTTCACCCCTTATTCCTTCCATAAACATTTACTGAGTATCTACAAAGCACCAGGCATCACGCTCAGTACTCAAAGAACCTTCACCACAAACAGAGACTAAGAAAGGATTTCAATTTTCAAGCCCTTGAACGAGTTTTAAGA